GAACTGCAGCTGACTACATGGGAGTCCAGTAACATAGCCATTATGCTGTTGGTCCCTAGACAGAAGCAATTATTTATTTTTTTTTGGGGGGGGGAGAAGTTTTTGCTATATGGCACATGCACTCACCAGACAGACAAAGAGAGATAGAGAGACAGAAAGCGAAAAATCACAATTCCTTCTCCTCCATTCTCCTCTCAGGATCCTGGGCACGCATGCACATGCGCCCAGCGTGAGTTTTAAGCCACCGGATCTGGGACACGAACCACGGTCAACTACATGGGAGTCCAGCAACATAGCCATTACGTCAACTGCTGGTCCCAACAGAGGCAATTATTAATATATCTTGCAAGTTGTTCTTAGGGGTCTGTGGAAATGCTGACAGTTTTAATTTGCATACTAATGCTGGAAAACATTTGAAAAGCAAGAGAGAACATTCTTCAGTCTTAGCAATGAATAGAATAAGAAGAAAAAACATAAACAGGAAGGTGGTTTAATGGCTCTAGGCAAAATGATTAAGGTTTATTTTTTCTATAGTAATTTCAAATTATCTATCATTCACTATAATAAGATACCATTTCAATGGTGGGGTCATACAGGCTTTTATTTTGCTAAAGACCATTTCTTGACTGAATGACTTCAAAACAGGGTCTAGCAGTCAAACAATCCAGTTGTCCCAGTTCTAACTCCATTCTGAGACCAACTCTCTATCACTGTTTCCTCCTTCACCACTCACCTAGAATATCCATTTTACCATTCACAGTATAAAAACAACAGCACACTGCCACACAGGAACAGTTTTAAGTTTCTGGAGTTCACTAAATAGCCCATGTGGACACTTGCTCATTGGAACGTACTTGTGCTTTGGTCCCAGTTCTTTAAGAAACACAGGAATTCTTTTCACCAAAAGATTATCCTGACCCAAGAAAGTTGAAAAATGAGCTACTTTAGCATTATTGCGACCTGCAACCTCTGAAAAGAGCTAAAAAATACCTAGAAGATTCAATTCAGCCAAATATGAATAGGAAACAGAGATTACATAGAATTTACTCGCTTTTCAAAAACACCAAATTTGTGAAACAAAATATATCGTATAGTGCTTGGAAGAATTGTTAAATGGTAGATTAGCTCCAATGCAAAACTTTTTTCTGTATTAGAAGAGGCGAATACCCAATAATCCTATGAGGTGGGTCTTATTATACACATTGAACAGAAGGGGAATGAGGCTCCAAAAAGGTGAAGTAACATACCAAGGGTCACAGTCATGCTTGTCTGTGTCTTGCTGGGTACCAAAAAATTGGTCTCTTTTAAAGGAAGATCATTTAAAACTGAGTACTAGTCACTACTAACAAAATGAATGAATTAATATGCTAACGACAAAATACTTCATTGATGCTGATCTTTTAGATTATGAATTCCAGATTCAGAGAGGTCATTTTCAAATACTTAAATACTTGTACACGAATACTTACACAAACTTGTTCATAGCGACAATAGTAGCCCAAAATATGGAAACAGCCCAAGTGTTCATCAACAGATAAATGGATAAATGAAGTATACTTTCCACACAATGGAATATTATTAAGCCATAAAAAGGAATGTGGATTAACCTTGAAACTGTTGAGCTAAGTGAAAGAAGCCAGACACATAAAAAGATCACATTATGTGACTCCATTTATATGAAATAGCTGGAATAGGTAAATCCAGAGATACACAAAGCAAATAAGCGGCTGGCTGGGGGTCTGAGAGGAGAAAGGAAAGGGGAGAAACTGCTTAATAAGTATGAGGTCACAATTTTTTTTTTTAGAATTATTTGCTTTATTTTATTTGTTGTCATTATTATTTTAATTTGACCAGAGAGAGACAGAGAGAGAAAGGAAAAGTGAGAAAGCAAGCCACCAGGTTTGGGACTTGAACAATAGTCAGCTATGTGGGAGAACCTTTGAACAAACTGCCAGCCTCGTCTTTTTTTTTTTAAAAAAAAAAAAAAAAACAGAGAGATTTTTGCTACAGGGTGTGTGCACTTGCCAAGAGAACTCAGAGAGAGAGTGAGACAGCGAGAAATCACCTCGTAAGGGGATAGCCGTGCCATAATCCCTTCTCTATTTTCCTCTAGGGATTTTGGGCACGCACGCACATGAACCCAGCATAAGTTTTAAGCAACTGGGTGGGTCTGGGACTCAAACCTCAGTCAACTACATGGGAGTCCAGTAATGTAACCATTATGCCATTTGCTGGCTCTCTCTCTCTCTCTTTTTTTTGGAGAGGTTTTTGCTATAGGGCGTGTGTGCTCGCCAGACAGACAGAGAGAGACAGAGAGATAGAAAGCGAGAAATCACCCCCAGAGGGGATGGCCACGCCGCAATCCCTTCTCCTCCATTCTCCTCTCGGGATCTTCGGCATGCACACATACGCGCCCGGCGTGAGTTTAAGCCACCGGGTCCGGGACTCGAACCGTGGTCGACTACGTGGGAGTTAGAGAGAGATTTTTGCTATAGGGCACATGTGCTTACCAGAAAGACAGAGACAGAAAGTGAGAAATCATCCCACAGCAGGGAAGGCCATGTTGCAATCCCTTCTCCATTCTCCTCTTGGGATTTTGGGCATGCACACACACTCATGTGCCCTGTGTGAGTTTTAAGCTGCTGTGTCCAGGGCTCGAACTATGGTCAGCTACGCAGGAGTACAGCAATGTATCCACTATGCCATCTGCTGGTTCCTACATAAGGTCTCTTTGAAGATGGTGAGAGTGTTTTGGACTAGACAGTGGAGATGGTTGCACATTGTGAGCATACCAACTGCCACTGAACTGTACATCCTAAAATGATAAATTTTGTATGAGTTTCAACTCCATTTAAAAAGACACAGAAGGGACCAGCAGTTGGTGTAATGGCTATGTCGCTGGACTCCCACATAGTCGACCGTGGTTTGCATCCCGGACCCGGTGACTTAAAACTCACACCGGGCGCGTGTGCGTGCGTGCCCAAGATCCTGAGAGGAGAGTGGGGGAGAAGGGATTGCAGTGTGGCCTCTCTGCTGGAGGGTGATTTCTCACTTTCTATCTCTCTGTCTCTCTCTCTGGCCTTCTGGAGAGCGCATGTACTCTATAGCTAAAACCTCTCCAGGAAAAAAATTTAAAAAGACATAGGAAAATGAAATAATCAGTAACCATATAGCTTTAGATGACTAGCAGGTAATTTGCTTTTTCTTAGTTTGTCACAATTTCAGTGAGTTTTTGATGGTCACAAATCAATATATAAAAAACAACCCATTAAAAGTTCTAAATAAGGCATTAATATAGCTGAGGTCCCTAATTTTTCCAATTGGCAAAGCACCTAGTAGAGTTTACAGTATACAAGCTTATAAAAATGTTTTTAATCTGTATAAAGGGCAAAGAACAAAAATACTAAAAAGGACATTAAGAATAAAAAATGGTCAGGGCATAGAAAATAAGCTGATGTACCTACATAGGGACATGTCTACATATTTGATCACACAAAGAGATGTAAACACTTCGGAGAGAAATTTGCTTTTCCTCCTAACTTATTTTCCAAAAACTGGAGTTGATACTAGCTTATGTTTACCACCCTCTGGGTCTGGCAAGAGGTCACACATGGGGAGGGCCTCTAGTAGACACTCGTATTGCTTCCCTGGTGAAACAACACAGGAGGCTAAGTTACTTCAGGAGACTCTCAACAGGGCTCTCATTGTTCCAAGCTCAGAATTCTGAGATACAATGGACCCCATTCATAGAGAGAGCTTATAAGCTGAAAAATAGTCCCTTAGTGTGGAGGCAACTGTGGGGACATCAAATTTTCATAAACAGACTGGCATGAATAAGTGTTAATTATTTTTTTAAAAAAGGTATAGAATAAAGAAAGCCCAGAAGAACTAAACTGGGAGTCAAATCACTCTTAGTCTTATGTCTAGCTCTGTCTCTAATGTAACTTTAAGTAAGTCGCTTGCTCTTTCTCAACCAATCATCCCTTATTTGTATAACATTTTTTTTAGACTTTTTAAAAAATTTGCTATAGGGTGTGTGTGCTTTCCAGAGACAGAGAGAAAAAAGTGAGAAAACAACCCTCATAGGAGGGTTCAACCATGCCAAAATCTCTTTTTCTCCATTTTCCTCTGGGGATTTTGGGCATGCGCACATACGTCCCCAGTGTGTTTTTCAAGCTGCCAGGTCAGGACTCAAACTACGCAGTTGGCCATGTAGGATCCAGCTGCCTTAACCACACCACCTGATTGCCTCCTAGAAATTTATTATTTAATTTGTGAGGACCTGTGCACTTGCCAGAGAGAAACAAAGAGAGGGGGAAAGCACCTCCATGGGACTAGTCATGCTATAATATAATCCCTTTTCTTCCATTTCCCCCTCCTTTCTGGATTTTGGATGGGCACACACACGTTTGCCATGATTTCAAGCCACAGGGTTTGCGATTTGAACTGCATGGTCAACTATGTGGGATTCCAGCTCCCTTAACCACCAGACCACAGGCTGGGTGGAAAATGATTTCTAAGACTACTTAAAACTCTAAAATTATATGACACATATAAGGTCTATTGATGTTACTTTACAGTTCACTCTAATGAGTGGGGGTAAGTTATGAGCAAAAAAGAATCATTAATTCACATCTTTTCACCTACTGTGAGCATTTAAAAGCAAGGAACCTTAATAAAAACAGAGAAAGTCCTCTTTCTGTTCTCTTTCTTAGATAAATCAAAACCATTGAAGTCCAGTGAGTCCCTCTGCCCCGAAAAGTCCAGGGTCACTCAGGAAGGTAGCTTTACACAAAGAACAACGATGAAGAACACAAACAGAAGCCACAGTATATGTTTAAGTCACCCTTTCTTAGGTTATGAATGCATTTTGAGAATCTCTTATATTCTTTGCAGTTACTCAAAATCCTCAGAAGAAAAGTACCATTTACAATAAGAATGTGATAAATGTCACAAGCTTCTACACCAGGTCATTTTTTTGTTTTTTCAACCTCAAAACTTGCCAGAGCGAGGACTTTGTCTCCAGAGCCTAAGGAGAAAGACACAGTAAGTGAAAAGGTTATTTCAAACGCATTTACAATTCCAAGTAAAGAAGGAAGAATCTATTGTATGGATACTGAAATAAAAAATAGAATTAGCCTCTGATATCCGTGCATTAACCCCCTATACCTCTCCACTGCCATCCCAATTTCCTTTCCTCTGCACAAAATATTCAGTTACAAAGAAAGCTTACTGGCTACAAATCTTTACTCTAGATCTAGATATGTAGTAGAATATGTATAATTTTAATTCACTTTTATAGTTACACCTACCTGACATGTATTTTAAAAAGATTAGGCTGCCTTGATTATTTTCATTTAAAAAGTACTGGGAAATAAGGCCAATACAACAGACTTATAAAGGAATCCATTCTTTATACTTTTAAACTCAAGAAAAGGTCACCATTTTATCTCTTCCTTACTCTGTCAATCTGGAGCAGTAATACATATCTAGCTTTCAGAAGTACGCTAGTACTCACCAAGATCTGTAGAGACTTTCTCAAACTGGCTGAGTATAGCACCTGCATTTGCTGACAAGAAGGCTTCATCATCTGCAGTCAGCTAAACAAAACGAAACAGAGTTGGTTCCAATGTTACAATCTAGGAACCAAAGTTAAGAGTATCTTTGAATCAGGAACTATTTTTCTTTTTTTGAGAGGTTTTTGCTATAGGGCACGTGCGCTCACCAGAGACAGAGACAGAAAGGGAGAAATCACCCCACAGGGGCATGGCTACACCGCAATCCCTTCTTTTCCATCTCCTCTTGGGATCTTGGGCACACATGCACGCATGCCTGGCATGAGTTTAAACCACGGGGTCCAGGACTCAAACTGTAGTCAACTACATGGGAGTCCAACGACATAGCCATTAATCCAACTGCTGGTCCCTGAACCACAAATTATTCATACATCATGAACTAAGTTCTACTTTTAAAAAGAGTTATTGTTTACTTAACTTTATTTATTATTATTATTATTTCCCAGCTTGATTAGAGAGCAAGAGAGAGAGGGAAAGTGAGAAAACAAGTTGCCAGGTCCAGGACTCGAACAGCAGTCAGTCATGTGGGAGTCCAGCACCTTAACTACTGCACCACGTGCTGGCCCCAAAGGTTTTTTTTTTAAACTACCAGAGGGCATGTATACTCACAAGAGAGAGACAGAGGGAGAAAGCACCCACAGTGGGGCATGGTCATGTCACAGTGCCTTCTCTATTTCTCCATCGTGTTGGGATCTGGGGCATATACACCACCGAGGCTGGGATTTAAACCATGGCTGGGCATGTGAGATCTGGCTCCCATAACCACTAGGCTATGGGGCCAGCCCAAGGAGCTCTCTACCAAAGATTTCACACTTTTTCTTTATAACATGTCCAATAAATTAAATACTAATACCTTTTCTCCAAGTTTCCTGAGAGCTGTTAGTATCTCCACTTTCTGTTGAGTGTATAGGTCTCTTTCCAGCTTTCCGACCATCAGATCTCTATCCATCTGTAATGGATTAATGCAAGACATATAATATCAAAGTGAAAAGCATTCTGTGTATAAAATCCAGACTTTTAGACTGATTTTTTAAAAAATAAAATCCTTCAGCTGATTAATATTATACAGAATTACAAAAATAATCCAAGACAAGCATAATAGAAATGCTGTCATACAGTTCTAATGTCTTTTTTTTTTTTGAGAGAGATTTTCGCTATAGGGCGCGTGCGCTCACCAGACAGACAGAGAGAGACACAGAGGCAGAAAGTGAGAAGTCACCCCCCAGAGAGGATGGTCACGCCGCAATCCCTTCTCCTCCACTCTCCTCTCGGGATCTTGGGCACACACGCACACGTGCCCAGCGTGAGTTTTAATGCGAACTGCGGTCGACTACGTGGGAGTCCAGCGACATAGCCATTACGCTAACTGCTGGTTCCCCAGTTCTAATGTCTTTTAATGCTAATCATAACCAATGTCTTTGTTATTACCTCTATTGAATGTTCAGGAGGCAGATGGTGTGGTGGTTAAGGGCGCTGGATTCCCACATGGTCAACTGTGTAGGAATCCTGGACCTGGCGGCTTGCTTTCTCGCTTTCCCTTTCTTTCTTTGTCTCTGTCTCTCTCTGGTAAAATTAAAATAATGATAATAATAACAAATGGAATTAAATAAATAATTATTTTTAAAAATAACAAAAGTTAGGAGAGGAGCTATCCTTAAAAACTCATTTCAGGGACCAGCGGGTGACGTGGTGGTTAAGGTGCTGGATGCTCCCACATGGCTGACCACGGTTCAAGTCCTGGACCTGGTGGCTTGCTTTCTCACCTTCTCTCTCTCTCTGTGTCTCTCTGGTCAAAATAAAAATGAATGAATGAATAAATAAAGTTAAATAAATAATTAAAACTAACAAAATGTTTAAAAAAAAAACTTATCATAAAAAATAAAAAAGAAACTCATTTTATTAGGGGCCAGCAGGTGGTGTGGTGGTTGGAACGCTGGATTCCCACATAGTCGACCATGGTTCAAGTCCCAGACCTGGTGGCTCACTTTCTCACTTTCCTTTTCTCTCTCTCTCTTTCTCTGGTCAATGACAACAAAAAACTCATTTCATTAGACTAAAGTGTGCTTTGTAAGCTTAAATAAGATAACTGGTATCAGACTCCTGACACATATTAAATGTCATCCTCATCACCAGAAACATTAATAGTAATAGAGCAAGGATTCAAATCCAGGCAGTCTGACTGCTCTATTTTTTTTTTTTATGGGTAATGATTATTTTTTTTTGGGCTAGCAGGGGGGGTTATGGTTAAGGACGCTGGACTCTTGTATGGCCAATCGCAGTTCAAGTCCCAGACCTGGTGGCTTGCTTTCTCACTCCCTGCACCCCCACTCTGTCCCTTTCTGGTCAAATTTAAAAAAAAAATTAAGTTAATTTTATTTATTTTAATTTGACCAGAGAGAAAGTGAGAAAGCAAGCCACCAGGTCTGGGACTTGAACCATGGTCAGCCATGTGGAAATGTCCAGCGCCTTAACCACCACACCACCTGCTGGTCCCAGTCTGACTGCTCTTAATCCATGCTGTTAATCACTATGCTGCTCAATTCCTCATAGTTGCAAATAATTTGTGAATCCCCCACCCCTTTTTAAAAATTTGCTATAGGGTTTATGTGCTTGCCAAAGAGTGAGAGAAAATGAGAAAGTACACCTTTGGGAGGATGGCCACTCCAGAACCCCTCCTCCTTCATTCTCTTGGAATTTTGGCCATGCAAGCAGAGTGTTTTTCAAGCTGTAGGGTCAGGGACTGAAACCATGCAGTCATGTAGGTTTCAGCTACCTTAACCACCATTCTACCTGGCTGGCCAATTAGATAATTCTTAATTACTCAAGTCTATAAACAGATTTCTGGAAGTTTCAGACTTATAAAGATGCTTGAAATTCTTAGATGAGCTAGGCTACACATGCATAAAAGAAATGCTAATAAATTCTCAGTACGATTTCAAGTTAGAGCTCCAGAAGCAAATATAACATTTTAAAGGTAGAGTCAAAGTAGAAGCAATCACTAGCAATTTAAACTGTTGTATACTGTTTAAACCTCCATATTCACTATCAATCATAATTGCTCAAAGTACTAATTTTGACAGAAAATTACAGGTTGTAGCTCTAAAATATACTAGGCAATTTTTAAACTGTAGAATATCATGATGAGCAAATTCTTGGGCTAGGAAAAAGAAACACACACAGCTATTAGATCAATTTAAAAAAACATTACCTCTGCTAACCTTGTCCGAAGCTGACCTGGTTGTTTCTTTGCAAACAATCTGATGACCTCTGGAGTTTTAAAAGCCTGGCTGATAGCTGCCTGAATAGCCTAAAAACAGAAGAAGGTACAAACTAACCAAAACATTCCAACAAATTAGAGACAGTAATCATCGATTCTTTTTTTTTTTTTGGAGAAGTTTTTGCTATTGAGCCTTTGTGCTTGTGTGCACTCGCCAGAGAGAGAGACAGAAAGCAAGAAATCATCCCCAACGGAGGATGGCCACGCCACAATCCCTTCTCCTTCATTCTTCTCTCGGGATCTTGGGCACACACGTACACTCGCCCAGCATGAGTTTAAGCCACCAGGTCTGGGACTCAAACCGTGGATGACTACATGGGAGCCCGGCAACGTAGCCATTATGCCAACTGTTGGCCCCCAATTATTTACTTTTTATATTGTTTTTAAGACAGTTTTTTTGCTATAGGGCATGTACGCTTGCCAGAGACAAAGAGAGATAGAGAGACAGAAAGCGAGAAATCACCTCCTGGAGGATGGCTACACTCAATTCTCCTCTCGGGATTTCGAGTAGTACGCACGCACATGCACCTGGTGTGAGTTTCAAGCTGCCAGGTCCAGAACTAGCACCAGGGTTGACTATGTGGGAGTCCAGCAACATAACCATTATGCCATCTGCTGATCCCATAATCAATTATTTATTAATAGGTCTTTTTTTCATCAAACATTGTTACAATTTCAGTTTTCATTGGCTATTCCTGTTACTGGAGCCAAATATTGATACCTAACTAAATATCTGAAAGGATATGCTGCTTTATGCACATTCATCTGGAAGTAACAAAAATGGTACACTTTCTATCTAAAATAAATCTACAAAAGAAAGAAAGTACTGGGGCTGGCAGATGGTGTGATGGTTGAGGGGCTGGTCTCCCACATGGCTGAGGACAGTTCGAGTCCCAGACCAGGTGGCTTGCTTTCTCATTCTCCTTCTCTCTGTCTCTCTCTGATCAAACTGAATAATAATAATAAATAAATAAATAATTCTTAAAAAAAAAAAAGTACCAAACTCTGTTGCTGATCTAAGTAAATCATGCTCACCAGCTGCATTCCACTTAGTTCATCTACCAAAGTCATATTTCCAGACATAATTTTCTTCAGTGAATCATTAAATTCATGGAGTTGCTCCAGAGTTTCCTTTTTGGTTTCTTCATATTCATCTGTATCAAGTTCCTCCCTGAAGTACAGTAAACATAGTAATATAGAAAAATGAAGAAAGTGATCTTAGTACTTGTACACGAGAAAAAATGCTGAAGGGAAAAGAAACATCAAAATACTGATGATGGGGGCCAGCGCATGGCCAACTGTGTTTCGAGTCCCGAACCTGGTGGCTTAAAACTCACGCCAGCATGTGTGTGTGCATGCCTGTGATCCCGGAAAGAGAACTGAGGAGAAGGGATTGTGGCGTGGCCATCCCCTGGTGTGATTTCTCACTTTCTCTCTTATTGCCTCTGTCTCTCTTTCTCCCAGTAAGCACAAACACCCTAAGACATAAACTTCTTAACAAAAAAAGAGCTAACTATGGACTTGTTCAGATAGCAGTAGTATTGCCATTTTTCTGCAAGTGGTTACCAAAATGAGGCACGCTTTACAAACCGCACTAAAACTGCAGTCAACTACATGGGAGTCCAGCGACATGGCCATTACGCTATCTGCTGGCCCCAAAATACTATAAAATATTACTAATGTAAATTTTAACCATCTTATTTCTTTGACCTCCTTTCTAATCAGCAGATTATAGGCTGCATAATTTTTTAAATAATTATTTATTTAATTCTATTTATTGATTCACTTATTTTAATTTGACTAGAGAGAGAGACAGAGAGAAAGAGAAACCACCAGGTCTGGGATTAGAAACATGGTCAGCCATGTGGGAGTGCCCAATGCCTTTACCACCATGTCATCTGCTGTCCCAATTATAGGCTGCATTTTTTTTTTTTAAGAGGTTTTTTGCTATAGGGCGCGTGCGCTCACCAGACAGACAGGGACAGACAGAGAGACAGAAAGCGAGAAATCACCCCTCAGGGGGATGGCCACACCGCAATCCCTTCTCCTCCATTCTCCTCTCGGGATTTTAGGCACACACGCACATGCGCCCAGCGAGAGTTTAAGCCACCGGGTCTGGGACGCAAACCGCGGTCAACTACATGGGAGTCCAGCGACATAGCCATTACGCTAACTGCTGGACCTAAGCAGTAACTTCTCACTCTCATTCTGATACTAGGCACAGCTGTTTTAAATAATAAAGATGAATTAGATGCTATTATTTCCATTTACGAGAGGTTAAGGATGTATTTCGCCCAAGTTCACATGTACTTAGTAATTCACTGAAAGACCTTCACTTCTCAGCCTTTATGACTCCTAAGGCTGATTAGTTTAGTTCTGTAGCAGACAAAAGCACTGTGAAGAACACTAGAGTGGAAATCAAAATCACATATGGGCCTGCATCTAGAGAGATTATAATTTCGCTGCAGAAAAAGGCCATTTCACAGAAAAATAATACAATTTTACTCTTACCTGCATTCCTCCAAATCTTGTAACTGCTGCATTAGTCTATCCAGCTGTTCTTCTAAATTCTGCTTTAATTTGCTTGTCTCTGTCTTTCCTCTGGAAGCCATTTTAATCTCTATTAGAATAACAAACCCACATATAGTATATTAGATTTGGTTATTGGAAGACATTCAAAATACCAGTGCAATTTAAAATAGGCCCTTTGGGGACCAGCAGGTGGTGTGGAGACTGAGGCACCAGACTCCCACATGGTCAACCAGTGTTTTGATTACTGGACCTGGCAGCTTGTTTTTCACTTTCCAACCTCCTCACCCCATTTCTCTCTGGTAAATTAAAATAATAATAATAAATGAAACTAGGGTCTCTAGGTGGCATGGTGGTTATGGTGGCTGGATTCCCACGTGGTTGATCATGGTTCGAATCCTGGACCTGGTGGCTTGCTTTCTCATTTTCCCTCTCTTTCACTGTCTCTTTCTGGTAAAATTAAAATAATAAAAAGAATAACAACAATAAATAAACAAATAATTCTTTTAAAAAATAATTATTTATTAACTTTATTCATTAATTTATTTTAATTTGGCCAGAGAGACACAGAGAGAGGGAAAGTGAGAAAGGAAGACACCAGGTCCAGGACTTGAACCATGGTTGAATATGTGGGAGTGTTCACTGCCTTAAGCATCACACCACCTGCTGGTCCCAATAAGTCGTTTTAAAAAGTTTGAAATAATAAATAAAATTAAAATAATTTTTAAAAAGAATTATTTTATTTACCTTTATTTATTTATTTATTTATTTAAATTTGGCCAGAGAGTGAGAGAGAGAGAGAAAGCAAGTTCTCAGGTCTGGGACTAGAACTACAGTTGGCCATGTGGGAGTCCAGTGCACTTCACCATGCCACCTGCCAGCCCCCCCCAAAAAACAATTCTTTTTTTATTTTATTTTTTGGAGAGGTTTTTGTTATAGGGAGCGTGTGCTCGCCAGAGAGAGACAGAGAGACAGAAAGCCAGAAATCACCCCCCAGGGGGGATGGCCATGTCGCAATCCCTTCTCCTCCATTATCCTCTCAGGATCGCCTGGCATGAGTTTAAGCCACTGGGTCTGGGACTCAAACCACGGTCAACTACGTAGGAGTTCAACATAGCCATTATACCAACTGCTGGTCCCTGACAGTCTTTTTAACTGACCTTACAAATTAATTAGAAGTCTTTTTTAAAAGGGATTATTTTATTTAACTTTATTTATTTACATTTGAACAGAGAGGAACAGACTGAGAGAGAGAGAGAGAGAGAGCGCGCACACAAACAAGCTGCCAGGTCCAGGACTCAAATCAGTTAACCATGGGAGTACAGTACCCTTAACCAGCATGACACCTGCAGCCCCGTAAGTCTTTGCTGTTGGTGTATCTTACTTCAGATAAGTTTTGAAGGCCAAACTGTAGTGCAGCAGTAATGCAACATTCCATGAGACTAATTCACATAGGAAAATTATAGATTCATGTCATGTATGGAAACATCCCTGAGTATACTAGGCTTATAAGTGTCTCTTATCTGGGACTGGCTGAAGCTAAAGGTGCTTTATGGCATCAAGGCCTTTTTTGGGGTGCTGTGTCTTGTGTTCATGGACAAAATAAACATAATAAAGGGCTGGCCCCATGGCCTAGTAGTTAAGAGAGCAGGATTCTACACGGTGCACTGTGCAGTTTGAATCCTGGCTACAATGGCTTGAGAAAAATGCTGGGCATATGTGCGAGCATGTCCAAAATTTGAATAGGTTGGAGAAATGAAGAAGAGATTGCAGAGTAAACATATCCCACGGAGAGTGCTTTCTCTTTTTCCCTGTCTATCTATGTTGAGTGCACATAGCCTTTGGCGAAGTTGAAAAAAAAAAAGTGGAGGGCTGGCTTTGTAGTCTAGTGGTTATGGGAGCCATATCCTATTAATACATGGTTCTACTTTCAGCCTTGGCAGCTTGAAAAATGTACTATATGTGTGTCTCTGTGCCCAAATCCCAACAGAATAGAGAAAGAGTGAAGGGATTATAGCATGACCAAGCCCTTTGGGAGATGCTGTCTCTATTGCTCCCTGGTGAGTCCACATGCCCTCTGGAATTAAAAATATGTTTTGAGGGCAAGAAGGTGGTACAGTGAAGACACTAAGACTCCCATATGGCCGAGTATGGTTCGGGTCCCAGACTTGGCAGCTTGCTTTCTCACATTCTCCCTCTAGGTGGTCAAATTAAAACAAAGAAAAAAAGTAAAATTAAATAAAAAATTCTTTAAAAAAAGTAAAAATAAGTTTAGATAGGTAAAAATACAGATTTTAAAAGAAATAATTAGATGTAGGTACCAACAAATGACATAATGGTTACATTGCTAGATTCCCATAGACCTGATGGTTTATAACTCATGCCAAGTATGTGTGCATGAAAGTCCAAAATCCCGAGAGGAGAATGGAGAAGAAGGGATTGTGGCATGACCATTTTCCTTGGTGGGTGATTTCTCACTTTCTGTCTTTCTGTTTCTCCATCTCTTTGGTGAGCACACACACCCTATAGCAAAAAAATCTCCCTAAAAAATAAAGCAAACAAACAAAAAAGACATTACCTGTGATTTTACTTTATAAAAAAGATTCATGACAGCATTCCTTATCTTTTTTTCTCTTTTTAAAATGTTTTAGAATTGGGGCCCACAGGTGGTATGGTGGTTAAAGGCAATGGACTCCCACATGGCCAATCACAGTTTGAATCCCGGACTGGTTGCTTGCTTTCTCACTCCTCCTCCACCCCATTTAAACTGGAAAATAAATAATAATAATAAAAAAGTTAAAAAAA